TATTTTTTAATGTAGCCAAATTAGAAAATTTTTAAATTCCCTATGTTAAAAAACAAAATTCAACCAAGTAAATTTGAAGATCAAATTGGCTTTATTCAGTGATTCATGGGGTCGTGAATACAATACAATTGTATACAGGTGACGTACTATACAAATATACACCTGAAACTGATATAATTTTATTAACCAATGTAACCCCAATAAATTCAACTAATAAAACGATGCGTGAGTTGGGCCGCATCCCAATAGCCACTGGACGGCTCACTGAGGGGCTGGACAAAATGGAGGGATTTTATAGGAAGAGGATGCGGCCAAGGAACTATTGGCAAAGGAAAAGAAAGGGTGATTTGGGGCCTGACGTCTGTGCTTTGGGAAGGGTTCTAATCCTGCAGATCGCCTCTTCTTTCTATGGGGAGAGGGCCCAGGGGACGGATTTCCTTACTGGTGTTTGTCCAGAAAATTCCAGACTGGCTGATTAAGATTATATTTCTTGGAGAGGCTGAATCCGCAGTTAGACCAGGTAGTGAGTCGAGGTGTGGTGTCGTGGGTTATTAGCATGAGTGATGCCATATTGGGCCTGTGGAATGGTTTCTTCTTTAACGCCTAAATGACTGGCATTATATTCCTATTAGATAATGCTGGTCTTATTCTGCGTTTGGAGCCTGCTCTCTGAACCTGAGTTTCTTCATCTGTGAAATGAGGGCAATAATACCTTCCTTGCAGGGTTATAATTGAGTTTTAACAAGAAAATACACATAAAGTCCTAGTGCCGTGATAGGCGCATAGTAAGTGCTCAGTAAACAGTATTTCAGTTGAGCTCCAGTTTCACAAGCTCCCGGAAGGTTCTTACAAGTAACCTCATGAGACAGGCCACAGGAGTTAAATCCAGCAGCTTCTCTGGGGGAGGGGGAGGAGGGATCAGGGGGGCTGAAGTGGAGTGCCTGCTGGGCTGCGGGCATGGGGTGGCCAGCCTGGAAGGTGGCCAGCCAGGCAGCAGCCCACGTACCAGCCTGCTCCATCCCAGCCTTGCCCAGCCCTGGGGAGACCTGAGCCAGCCTCTCCCTCAGATGGGTCACTGGACAGCACTGGGAGGAAAGAGCCGGAGGAGGATCTGGCTCAGGGCCCCTACTGGGGGCTGTCGGAGAAGTGGCCGCCACTTAAGCTTATGTCTCCCTCCTAGATCCCACCCTGCTGGGCTCCAAAAAAGTGCCTCTCCACGGAGAAACAGCAGGAAGTTCAGGGTCAAGGGCTAGAAGCAGCTCGCTTTTTGCGAATGGAGGTGTCTAACATTCCTTAGACGGGAGGTCCTGTGGGGTGAAGTGGAGCCACTTCAGGGCATGAGTCAGTGGCAGCCAAGCCTCTACCTCCCCCGGGGTGAGGAGAGGATCCATGAGCCTAGAGCTGTGGACACTGGCCAGTCGTCTGGGTCCTGGTCACTTCCCAGCCTGCCCTAAGGACAATGCCCGCATGTTCCACGTCACGCGTCACCCCAGGCAGGGCCAGCTCTTCAACCTGGCTTCCTTGAGAGCACTGAGCTGCTCCCTGAGCAGCCAGGGTTCCGTAGCCCAGCACTCCCTCTGCCTGCCCGCCAGGACAGCCAGGCCCTTCCCCTGCCCTGTTGGCTGGGGCTCGTTTCTCTGTGGGAGGCAGCTGGGCACCATTCTTAGGTGCATAAACAGGAGCCCTGGGCTGGGTGGGGCTGGGGCGGGGATGGGGGGATGGGCAGCCCTGGGAGGTGAGGGTCACCTCTGTTGTTCCTCTAGCCACCTGGTAGTCTCCCCTCCTGCAGCCCGCCCCTTGCAGGAAGCTTCCTGGCTGTTCTATATGGGCTCTTCACCATGGCACCGGCCAGGGAGGGGCCAGGCCCCGCGGGGCGTTGGCCCCCCAGCCATCCTCCCCTGGGCCTGATCCCCAGAGACAGTCACCGGGATTAGGGTATCGACTTTCCCCGGCTTTCCAGGTGGCTGCTGGTGGTGCCTATTGAATTCCGTGCCCGCCATCCGCTCCCTGGGCTGCGGGGGTGGAGGTGACTGGGCGGCCACTTGGGGTGGGGCTGGGCTCCCTGGGAGAGAGGAGGGCAGGCCTGGGACAGGATTTGGAGCAGCCCGAGAACCTGGTGGCGCCATGAGTCTGGAGGCAGGTCTCCTGGCAGGGTCTTTTCCAGAAAGTGGGCCTGCGTTTTCTGGAAGTGACTCAGACTCATGCCGCCCCAGCCCGTTTGCACTGCCCACTGGCCACCATTGCCTCATGTTCCTTCCTCTCGCTTGCGGGTCTCTGCCAGTCCCCTCACTGAGCAGATCCTGATTTTCACTTCTGAGCTGTGCTCCCTGAGGCTCTGAACACCCTGAGACCATGTTCCCTTTGTAGTGACCCCAGCCCGGCTCTGGGCCCCTCAAGCACCAGCACAAGGCTCCCCCTGAGCCCCTGGGGCCACACCGCAGGCCGGGGATGGCTTGGACTTGCCATTTCGCCCTCTCCCCAGGCCCTGCCCAGCTCTAACCCAGGACCCACAGTGGCCAAGCTCCGAGCAGCTGGCCCCTCCCATCTTCTCAGGACTGGGCCAGCTCCACGACCCCCAGGGAGGCTGCCCCCAGGGACTCCTGTCAGCACCAGCCTCCACCCAGGATGGGCTGGGCTGACTCAGCAGCAGGCGCTGACACCTCCTGGAGACAGCGGGGAGGGGGGCGGGGAGAAACAAGCTGGTCTCCGGGAGGAATGCAAGCTGCAGCTGGCCCTGGGAAGGAAGGAGCCTCTGGGGACCTGGGAAGGCGGGTGCAGGATGGGGCTCTGTGGGTGTCGAACACTTCAGAAGGGGTTTCCTGTCCGCCTGCCCAGAGGGCAATGAGCCGGTCCCTGAGCCCCTCTGACTGGGTCCCTTATTTCTTCCATCCTCGTGGCTCAGTGCGGCCTCCAGCTTTAAGGACAGGTCACCAGCAAGGCTCAGTAAGAGGGGCCCGGGCAGCAGCACAGCCGTGCCAACCTGGAGAGCACCCACGCTGCCCCCTTCCCGCCCAGGCGCAGCCCAGGCTGCTCACTGTCCCTGTCGTCGCCTATCCCAAGCTCAGGCTTAGCTCTGGCTGCAAAAACCTTTCGTGCACCCGGAAGGAAGGCTGTGGTTTCATCAGCTCCCAGGCCCCTCCCCAAGAGGCTGCAGGCACCTCGGGGAGAGGACTCCAGTGCTGGTGACCCTGCTGAGGCCCCAGCTCCGGGGTGGGGGCTGGGGGGCAGTGCGCACCTCCCAGTCTGAACTTGGGTCTTCAGGTGCCAGCCCACAGATGGTGGGAGGAACAGGAGCTCCAAGTCAGGGACAGGCTTGGGGTTCGGGCTCCTCCCCTGTAACGCCGTGTGTGACGTCAGGCAGTGGGCATGGCATCTCGAGTCTCAGTTTCCCCATCCTGAAGCTGGGGGCGACCAGCCTGGGCCAGGTTGCTCTGGGAAGGCTCTTTGGAGTGAGGGCAGGTGTGGAGAGGCAAAGACATGGGAGCTGCCCCCTCCCTCCCCACGTTCTCAGGGCCGTGGTGGAGCTGAGCCTGGCTAGGCCGAAAGCTGAGCCTGCCCAGGTGGCGGCAGCTGGTCAGACCTGTTCTGCTCACCTCGCCTGGGGGAGGGCGGCCGACAGCTTTGCGGAGGGATTAGCTTGAGGGGAGAAGAGTTTGTCTTACACCCGGAACGGAACGAGATCCCAGATCCCAGAGGGCTGTGCTGGCCGGATAAGCAGGCATCAGCTGGGCATGCTGGTGGGGCCCTGCCACGAGGAATGGGAAGGGATGAGAACTCACAGAAAGGGGGGCCTGGGCCTCTAGCCCAGATTAGGGTACCCGCAGGCCCAACTGTCAGCCCTCCTTCCTGTCTTGGCCTGTTCACACCCCCCACGAACATCCTGAAGCACAGAAAGATCCGCCCCAGCACTTAACGGAGGCAAAGTCACCCTGAGAGTGAGGGGTGGGGACTGAGCCTCCAGCTGATGGCGCTGCCTCCTGGGCTGGCAGTAGAGACAGGTGGCCTGTGAACCCTCCTCACCTCCACTCCCAGCTGCGACTGGGGTTTCAGAGCAACCTGGACCCACCCCTGAGCCCCAGAATCTCACTTCTCACTTTCATTTGACTGTTTGTGAGTGTTCACAACAGTGGGAACGTACCCCGTCAGGGACTGTACACCTGTGGGGTGTCCGCTTGTATGTTAAGAGCCTCAGGAAACTGGGGCTCTGAGGAGGAAATCGCTGCCCCAGGTCACAGAGTGGGGCAGCTGGAACCTGGGCCAGAGCCTTGACTTCAGCCATTGCTCGTGGTCTGGTGTCCAGGGGCGACCCAGAGCTCATAGGCTGGCGGCTGTGCCCTGCCCCAGGCCTGGGAGTAGGGGGAGAGGGACCCCAAGTCAGCCTGGTGCTCAGGCGGCAGTGTCCTGCCCACTCACACCCGATTCCCTGCATCATGTACACGTCTTCTGGGCTGCAGCTGCGAGCTCAGCTGCCTGAGGCGGCCCGAGGATGGCGGGATGGTCCCAGCTGGGTGTCTGTGTGCTCCTTGGGGACCAGCAGGATCTCTGAGCTTCTGCTATTCTCTGCTAGACCGGTCTTGGCTCCACCGGTGGGGATCTCGTCCTGTCCAGGACCCCCGATGTGCATCCCCCTGGTCTGTGGTCATTGGCCACTTGGCTTGGCGGGGGAGAGACAGGAGCCTGCGTGAAGAACGGCTTTACTGTAAACACGCTGCCCAGCTTTCAGTAAACACCGGGCCTGCCTCCCTCTGCAGACAGGAGCCTGGATGGGGAAGGGGCCCTGAATAGCAGGGCTGGGCTGAAGGAACCCCTTGTGGCTGCGGCCGTGGCCTGGCCAGGGCCACCTGTGAAGGCACAGGCAGATCTCTTGCACTGAAAAGGTTCTCACATCTAATACAGAGGCCAGGGTTCCCCACCCCATGTCAGGTACCCACCTGTCACCCCCCAGGAGGGCCAGCTGAGCCGTTGGTAGGAGGACAAGGTATCAATCAAAATGATGAACCATAGAATGTCAAAAGGGGAGGGACTTGAGCTACTCTGTCCCCACTTCTCATTTGCAGAACAGGAAACTGAGGCTTGGAGAGGAGCCTTGTTGCCCAGGGTCACCCAGGCATTTCGCTGCAACACGGGGTCTCCACGCAGTGTTGGGAGCCCCGGCCAGCGTTCTCCCCGGTGCAGTGGGATCTCCGCAGATTTGCCTGTTATCAGATCTTCCTGATGGGAGCTGGCGCCGGGCACAGGCGGGGAGAGTGGCCCCAGGACACTGGAACGACACGGACTGTGCTTTGTCCCCACAGCGTGAGCTTCGGCCTCGGCTCTGCGCCATGAAGAGGGGTCCCAACGGCTACGGCTTCAACCTGCACAGCGACAAGACCAAGCCAGGCCAGTTCATCCGGTCCGTGGACCCAGACTCGCCCGCCGAGGCCTCGGGGCTCCAGGCCCAGGACCGTATCGTGGAGGTAATGCCTCTCGCCTTCTCCCCAGGCTCCTCCAACCTGGCAACCTCCCCACAGAGACAGACAGCTCCTGGGGCAGCCATCACACCAGCAGCTCCTTGGTTAGCCCCTGATGCGTAGATGCCGGCGGGAGGGATGGTGGGCGGGCAGGAGGGAAGGAAAGACGGAAAGATGGTGGGTAGGCAAAGGACTGATTTCCTCCCTGCCTCCCCTGGGAGCCTCTTCACTGAGCAGACACACTTGGCAGTTCATGATTCACCCATCGATCCAGGTCGACATCCGGGGCCACCCCCAGAGCTTCCTGCGTCCTCCACGCCAGGCGCAGGGATGGAGTGCGAGGGTGAAGTCCTCTCCCGAGTGAGGCTGTTGGGCGGAGAGGAAACGTGAACCAAGGCCTTGGGCAGGTCCCAGAATCTCAGTCTCCGAACCTTAGAGGTTCTCATTTTACACTGAGCAAGCCAGGGCCGGGGCGGGAGGCCGAGGCAGGTCCACAGGGAAGCTGGGGCCCACCCAGGCCCCAGGCCCCAGGCCTTGCCCGTCCGTCTTCCCAGCTGTTCGCTTGGTCTCCCCGGATATTTTCCTTGGCTTTTCCCATGTGTCCTGCCTCCCATCTGACTATCAAGTGGGAGGACCCCTTGCCTCGTTCAGGACTCTGGGCAAGGGGGGCTCCGTGTCCCTGGATTGCCAACTGGCTGAGGACGAAGAGGACCACTGTGCCTCCTCACCTGACGCCCCCAGAACTGAGACCTGTGCTAGTAACCATGCCCCGCCCACAGGTGAACGGCGTCTGCATGGAGGGCAAGCAGCACGGGGATGTGGTGTCCGCCATCAAGGCTGGCGGCGAGGAGACCAAGCTGCTGGTGGTGGACAAGGAGACCGATGAGTTCTTCAAGAAATGCAAAGTGATCCCGTCTCACGAGCACCTGCATGGTGAGCTGGGCGGGGTGGCTGGAGGCCCCCAAGGCAGGGATGTTGGCCAGAGTTCTGGACGTGACTGGGTCCCAGGTGAGGGCTGACAGCTTCCTGCTGTGATGCGCCCTCCCTCTCCTTCCGGGGAGGCCAAGGGGTGTGGGTGGGGAGGGAGGGGGGCCGAGCTAG